AACTGAACTGATAGAAAGGATTTAGTTTTTTTTTTTAAGATGCGTCCTGATCCACACTCCTTACCAGTAGGTGGCGGTAATGGACACCAATAAGTTGCTTGTCAACCGCCATTAAACCCAGAAACAACAGCAGCCATGGCCGAACTGAACCGGCAGCTCCAGGAGTATCTCTCCCAGTCCAAGAGCGGCGGAACCAAGTCCAGCTCCAGCACCTTGGTGGAGGTGGGAGAACCGGAGGCGGTACCGGGCAGCTGGTTCGGTCGGTGGTCCAGTCCGTGGTCCGGTCAGAGCTCCGCGGGAAGCAGCGGCTCCTCCTGGCCCTGGTCCTCCGAACCGGACCCGTGCCTCCCCGGGGTGAGCCGGCAGCAGCGGCTGCTGGGCTTCGGCGTCTGCCTGGGCCTGTCGGTGCTCTGCTTCGGACTCTCGGCTCTCTACGCCCCGCTGCTGCTCCTCTACGCCCGGAAGTTCGCCCTGCTCTGGACGCTGGGCTCCCTGTTCGCCGTGGCGGCGGTGTCGGTTCTGCGGGGCCCCAGTAAGCTGCTGTCCGGCCTGCACCGGTCCCCCGGAGCCGCCGCCTACCTGTGCGCCCTGGCTGGGACTCTGTACGCGGCGCTGGGCCTCCACAGCACGGTGCTGACCGCGCTGGGAGCCGGCCTGCAGGGGGCGCTGCTCCTGGGGGGCCTGCTGGCCCTGCTGCCCGGGGGCAGCGCCGGGATCCGGTATCTGAGCGGCTGGACGCTCTCCGTCCTCAAGAGGACCGTCAGCGGCAGAACCATGGCGATCTGAGCGGAACCGACCCAGAGACTAAACCCTCAGCGCTGACTGCCAGGACCACAGACCTAAAACTGATGGAGGGGGAATTAAACCCTCAGCGCTGACTGCCAGGTCCATAGACCTAAAACTGATGGAGGGGAAATAAACCCTCAGCGCTGACTGCCAGGACCACAGATCTAAAACTGATGGAGGGGGGGGAGTTAAACCCTCAGCGCTGACTGCCAGGACCACAGATCTAAAACTGATGGAGGGGGGGGAGTTAAACCCTCAGCGCTGACTGCCAGGACCACAGACCTAAAGCTGATGGAGGGGACTAAACCCTCAGCGCTGACTGGCAGGACCACAGACCTAAAACTGATGGAGAGGGAATAAACCCTCAGCGCTGACTGGCAGGACCACAGGGGGTTAAACCCTCAGTGCTGACTGGCAGGACCAAAAACCATAAACTGATGGGAGGGGGAATAAACCCTCTGTGCTGACTGCCAGGACCACAGATCTAAAGCTTGATGGAGGGGGGGAAAAAAACCCTCAACGCTGACTGGCAGGACCACAGACCTAAAACTGATGGAGGGGGAATAAACCCTCAGCGCTGACTGCCAGGACCACAGACCTAAAACTGATGGAGGGGGAATAAACCCTCAGCGCTGA